TCTGGCAGGTATTAAAGCTGAAAGTAGACTGAAAAACGTTGTATAGTCGTCTTTTGCAATACCATTTGCCGTTAACGTCACGCTTAAACTTTTCTATTTTAGAAAAAACTTCTTTTTCATGCGTGATGATTCTGAGACAAGTTGTCAACTGTCATTCAATATCACTAAATTATTCTATTTTGGTAGTTTCCATTCTATCATGTGCTTTATTCATGTTTGCCTTTAGATTCAAATCACGCATTGCGTTCAACTATCTTCCTTAAAAATGACTTGTGTTTCCTCTTTTATATGTAAATAAATTTCTCTAAAATTATTGTTTTCACTTCTTGTCTTCCAATTCTGTCTGTTATCATACTCGTAATCAACAAATCGGACTCCCGCTTCGCAGTCGTTCGATTTAGTTAATCCCTCGTATGAATTAGACTTCACTCGGTTTTATTACCATTACTAATCTGTTTCGCTTTCTATGGAAATTATCATCAAGGCTTTAAGAGTCTCTTTAGCTGATCTCTTTCTGGTTGACTCAGATGCTTTTTAAACCGAAAGAGAGAAAATGCTAAATATTTTATGGAGCGGCTTTACGCGACACAAATGGCCGGAATACGTCGATTGAAAAGTTGTCACCGTTACAAGAATTTCGAGAGTCTTTGAGCAGAAAGCGACTTATTGATTAAGCTGACAGTTGGACAGCTGGCAGTTCTTTCTGGTTGACCCATATGCTATATTGTAGTTTGAGCCCCCGAGCTGTTGCTTGTTCGCTCACCAGCTTACAATGTTTCTGGTGCAGGTACACAATATGTCAGCTTTACTGCTGATATATAACAGAAATGGGCTAATTAATACGACTTTGAAGTGAAACTCCTTCTTTGAATGGTCACGAACGAAGTTTAAAGATTGGGATACAACTCAATCGACCCCGCTAAAAAATATATATATAAAATATCTTGTCTACTGGTATTTTGGCACTTATTAATTCAAAATGACCGGTCAAGGAAGTTGAAATGAACCAGGATCTTCAAACTCCTTAGAAAAAGTCACTTCAGACCGCACGACTTCGTTTCTATACCTAACTGGCAGCTCAAAGAGTTTTAAAGAAAATTTATATGACGGCTTAAACCGTTATTTAGAATAATTATGGCTTAATGATCGTTTGATATATATAATTCTAGGTACATATTTTGTAAACACTTTTTGTAGAGCGCTGTCGTTGAAATTTTTCCAAGAGGTAAAAGGATCAGATAAAAAATAAGATCGAATTAATCACCTGTAGCCTCCAGTAAATAAAGACAAAACATATTACATAACCACAGCCCTTTCATGACTTTTGTGTTCGCGAAAACTTAACCCGACCGCGCCTTGTTATATATACCAGAAAACATATAATTAAAATCCTCTTTTTTCACAATAAAAAAAAAAGTTAACTTATTGTTTGAATGAGTGTGCTTGAAATAGTTTTAAACGAAGGGAAGAAAATATATTGAGAGCAAAAGAAAGAACAACATCTGTTTATTCTTTGGCATGAGAAATAAAAAGAGATATCAAAGAAGTACATGGGACATTGGGGTTGACTGAATTAAGAAAACAAAATTGATCTAGAATTGAAAGAAATGTTGCGCTTTTTAAACTTCATCAATTCCTTCCTTAGCACTCATATCACCTCCACTTTGTAATTTGCTTTTACCTTTGGGAGTGCATGACATTTGTCGCTCAGTAATATTTACACCTTGGATAAATGACCTCACCAGAGCACTTAACATAAGTGCGTTTATGCGGTCGTTTATGGCAACGGAAAACGGTAAAATTAAACTTTTCAGTTTAATAAGTTTTTTCTCAAAAGAATCTCTTGGTTTCTCTGTGATCCTTTAACATACTGTATACTACATCCTGCAACATTTTCCTTCACTTATTATAAGCTGTCATCACATGAAACCAGCTGTCAAACGATATTCAACAAATAACGCTATTTCAGTTTTTGCTTTCCAGTCGTTTGCTTAAGTTTTATTGCCTTTTTAATTTAGATCACGCCTCGCAGGGGAAGAAAACAGCCAGCTTTCATTTTAACTTCATTTTTTCCCCGTTTCCCGCTCCTCAATTACCAGGCCGTTCTCGCACACACATTCCTCGTTTTTTGTTTGCTGATATTAGTTTTTCACGACTCATTCTGGCTTGGAAACTGACATCCGTCAATCGTCTGGTACAAAAATAGTATGCAAACAAGCGGTCAATTAAAAAATACAAAAATTACAGCATCAAGTAACTGAAGCACAAATTTATGATACGTATTGAAAGCGTACAAAAACCTTTACAGTTTTACGCCGAAAATACTGTAGCAATTAACAAAGATGTTTATAAATAAGGACATGCATGTTATTTTGTGGCAGATTCTTTCCACGAGGTAGTATCGCTTCCTTACAGCTAATTTTTTACGAAACAAAATAAAAAATGCGATAACTAATAAATTCTCAGGGAAGTCTCTCCTTTCCTTAAACTGAATGTTGTAATTACCAGCTGTTTACATACACGTCAAGAGAAGAAAATAGACTGAGAAAATGGAACTTTCTAAAACTTTCCTGAGGCCAATGATATTTCTATTTAAAGTAGAATTATCCAAATGAGATCATTCCCAACTCTTTCATCCGAGGTAACTACAGTTGTAGATACTTTTGCTAATCAAAATGAAGGTTCAGGTACATCTGTCGATATTCTTAAATTTCTGGAGAAGCTAACGTATGCAATTTAGAACAATAATAATATCGATGCAAATCATCACTGCGTTCACTTAAAAAAAGAGCGTTCAGAGCTGTTGGCTGAATGTCGGCAATGTGATCGCAACGATGAATGGAACACAGGTAACGAGCTACTTAAATCCAGTTACTGAGAGAAAGAGAATCGAATTCAACTTTGCTTACAGCTTTTATAAAAATAACAAAATACAAAATAAAGACAGGAAAAAGTTAATAAGCGAGTAAGAAAGGAGTTTTTACTATAGGAAAAATCATTTGGATCTGTTCCTCATGGAAAACTAGATCCAACTCAGTAAAAGAAGTTGGACTAAAGAAAGTAAATGAAAGGTATTTCTCAGTAATCAGCTTTGTTTTGTTTATTGAGACTAAAGGTAGCCCCCCGAGAACTACTCGGTGCCAAAGCTTGGTTAAAGAAAGGAAAATTATCCTTTTCTTAAAACAACTTCAGGGATACGGTTCATCGAAACCGATATTTATCCTTTTTTACTCTTTTGTCCTTTTGTTCTTCTTTGATAGTCATATCACCTGTACTTTGGTTTTACCGCGGGGACTGAATTTTGTTGCTCAACGATGTTTACATTTTGAATAGATGGCCTCGCCGAGGCACAGAAGGTTAATGAGTGTATGCGATCGTTTAAGTCGGTTAAAGCAACGGAGATATCATCTTTGCTCGAATGCAGAAACAAGATTAAAGGAAAAATTTACATCGTAAGCCATATGAATTCTGTGGTATCCGCGGGTTTCGCCCATAACGAGTTTCGCCCAAGAAGCGTTTCGCCCATAACGAGAATGGTTTCGCCCAGGCATAAATTCGATTCGCCCAGACTGACAGTCAGTGATTATCCAGGCTAAGGGCCTCTTTAGACATATGCTTTAGATGAGCCCGGTAACCGGGCTTTTGTTTTCTGTTCATTCATAAGCTGGCGTGCGGAACTTATCTTCCGTGTACAAAAGATTTGCAACGATGATATGTTCCACGCGCAAGTGTTTTCAAAAGCGTTTAATTTAATTCTCGAGAAGAAAAGTGATGCAAAAAATCATAGCAATGCTTTTACGACAAACGGACGTCTCTGCAGTATTTCGTGCGCGAATTACCTTAACAATCCCCACTCCACAGTGAAAGCTATAATTGACTTGTTCGTTTCAACAGTAACTTGTTCGTTTCAAAATTTCATGATCTCAGGTCAAGTCACTTTTCTTCATTCTGTGCATACAAACGTTTATAAGGTTGACGTTTTCCGAGTGAGAGTGTAGAAGTTTTACTTATGGGCGAAACCTTTATTGTTCTGGGCGAAACCATTCTCGTTCTGGGCGAAACCATTCTCGTTCTGGGCGAAACGATATGTGCGAAACTCGTTATGGGCGAAACCCGCTATAACCAATTCTGTCATGTAATTTTGTCCTGGTGAATTATGAAACCATACCATTTTTCTCGCATATAGGAGATCGGCTTTGTCCCGGCTGTTTCGTTTCCTTTTATTACAACTTCGTGAAATTTTTCTTTAAAACTCCAACCAGTCTACTGAGCAACAAGCTCAGGCTAATTTAACTTTCGATGGCAACATAATTAAAAATAAATTCTGAATTAAAAAGAAGACTTATGAAGCCATACCATTTTTTATCGCACATAAGAAGTCGGCCTTATATTGTCCCGTACCCTTCCTTTTTGTTACAACTTCGTGAAAATTTTCTTTAATACTCCAATAAGTTTACTAAGCAACAAGACTAATCAGTAAGTTCGAGGCTAGATTAAACTTTCGATGGCAACATAATTAAAAATAAATTCTGAATTGAAAAGAACATTGTAGATCTTTTCGCTACCATCTGTCAACCGTTATTCTATATCAGTAAACATCTGCGGCTGGGCTATTTCTGGAGCCATTGGAACAATATTGATAATGATTATATAAACTCATATAGGATGGGCTCCTGCTTATAAACTTGAGAAAATTGTCCCTTTTGCCGACAATATTTGAAAGAGCATATCGTTTGCTTAATTTCGGACAACAGCTGATTCCAACCATACTTTTCTTAGTTAGAGGTCTCAGGTGAAGACTGTCGATTTTCTAGAATTTTCCCGGGTATGTTCATCAATTAAACATGTGAAATTTTGATCTATATAAGATGGATAGGCTGTGTTTTCATCCAGTCGAGTTTAGGTACCCACCGCAAGGCTGTTGGCTGAAGAAAAACCTGATCTCTTGGTATCGAAAAATGTCTGCAAACGTGACAGCAATGGTGAATGGAACACAGTCCATGTCGAGCTGCTTCAACCCCACAGCGACAAGAATTGGTCAAACCTTCGCCTACTGTCTGCTATTTGTTGTGTCGCTGGCTGCGAATACCTTCATTGGAATAATTGTCTATAGGACGAAAACTCTGAGAACACCAATCAACATTTTGATAGTAAACATGGCACTCTCCGATCTGTTGTACCCGATTTTCCTCTTTCCTAAAATTTTTGTAGAGTTAAACACGGCCGGCCACTGGCTGGTTGGCGGTCCCCTTGGCCATGCGGCGTGTAAACTAAGTCTATTCACTAGAGATGTCTCAACTCTAGTTTCAGTTCAGAGCCTGTTGTTGATCGCAGTGGATCGATTTGTAGCTGTAGTATTTCCTCTCCGTTCCCCTCTGATCAGTTCAAAGCAGTGCCGGTACTTCATTCTCGTCATTTGGATCATCGCCATGGCAGTCTTTTGTCCATATTTGATCGCCCTTAAAGTTGTCGGAGGGGCTGTTTTGTAGGTGGCAGTGGAATGACACATTTGGAGAGTCCCTATCGCTGCAAACCTACATACTGGGATTGATCGTTGTTGACAGATATGTCCCTTTGGTTTTGATTTCCATACTTTATTTTGCCATTGCCTTAAGAATTAAATCGCAGAAGACTCCAGGGAAGCAATCAACTAACGCAAGAGAGCGGCGTTTGAAGAAAGAAAGAAATGTTCTTAATATGTCCGTTGCCATTGTCATGGTGTTCGCCGTATGCTGGTTGCCACTCAGCATCTACGCCTTCCTGTCCCTTTATTCATCAAACATAGCTATAAGGTCATCTTGTGGCATGCAATACTTTGAAACTATTGCCTTTCTTCTGGCGCGCTCGTACTGTGCTGTAAATCCTTGCATATGTTTTATCTTCAGTGGTAATTATCGTCAAGGTCTCAAGAATCTCATCGGTTGTTTTCCTACAGGCGAAGCTGCTTAGTTATCGTTTCCTCCCCAGCCTTCTGCATGCTGTTTGGATTTATCCGCGCATTGATGTGGCTGAACATGCCCACCAGTTCTTTATTCCTATTTATAGAGAATTTGAGCAGAGACGTTTTTGAGACACGGGCGGCAACAGGAGAAAGAATGGAACTAAATCTGGCGCGATTTGACGCTAATTCATCGACTGCAAGAAATAAGAACTTTTAACTTGCGGCTGCCGTCCGCGTCTGCCGTTGATGCTTAAGCTCCCTAATAACTACTCTAACGAAGTAGCTGGTGCGGCCTAACCCATCCATCAACTGATTTACTGTTTAGTGACAGTAAACTTTCCACATTTTACAATTCTGGTCATCTTTTTCTGACTTGCTGAAACTGTTCGTAATCCTTTTTAGAAGAGCCTCGCTATATTCCTTCTGAAATTTTTGACTTGGCACCCGAAAAAAGACAGCCAGTAGGTATTTTCAATTGGTCAGGGAATACTGTAAACGTTGTAGCGGTAACGCGTTATTAATTAAATAAGAAGCTTTAGAGTTGGAGTTAATCAGAAAGGGAACTGTAAACGTTGTAGCGGCAAAGTGTAATAAATTAAAGAAGAAGCTTTGGCGTTGGAGTCTAACGGTTAACCCAATCGAGAGCCTCTATTAAATATTTCCTTACAATCTCGAAATTCACTGCCTATGGTACATTTTCGCGTATTGTTATTATCTATCATTTTGTAGCGAAATAAACTAAATACTTGCTGAAAATGAAAAATATCAAATAAGCGCCCTTCTCGAATAAGCGCCCTTCTCGAATAAGCGCTCACTCTGAAGGTCTCAAAATGTATTAAGCGCCTAGGGCGTTTACTCGAATAAATAAGGCGATCCTTGTTTTACGCACATGCACGACGTCGATTTAACCACGAACTTATATGAGAATTCATTGTCGGCGGAAAACTGCGATCCCTGCGACCCCTGATAGATTATACTCATGTTTTGAAAGTGACTTTCATAACTAAGAGTTTTGCTAGAATGCAGCTTTTAACAGGCTAAGCCCAAACACTAAAAGTAAAGAGTGCTTCATCATGCTTCAGAGTGATAATCTCTCAGTGGTTTTATTTTGTCTTAAAAGTGTTCCGTGGACTGGTAACGAATTAGCGGGTGATAACGTAGAAAACTGTGAAACTTTCTTCTGGATTTCTCCTTCTTTCCGGCTCCACCAGAGTTGCCGACGGCAATTTTAAAAACAGCTATTAACTGGAAACAACAACAAACCCAAATAAAGACCTAAAATAATTGGTTTAAGTGTGCATCATCAAAATAAAATATTCAAATTTTCACATCACTTCCACAGCAAGCGGTAATACAAATAGAGGTGTTTGTGACTTCCGTAAGATAATACTTGACTTTAACGGTGACTGAAGAACGCGTCTTCGAAATGTCCACGAACTTGAGCGCAACAATGAATGCAACTCTGCTGTGTCAATTCAGAGCCTTGTGCTCATAGCAGTGGATCGATTTGTAGCTGTGGTATTTCCCCTCCGTTCCCCGCTCTTCAGTTCAAAATTGTATCGCTTCTTTATTCTCGCCACGTGGATCATCGCCATGGCTACATTCATCCCGTATCTGCTCGCGTTCAAGCTGGTCGAATACGATCATGAGTACAAGTGTGTGCGGCAATGGATGCGCGTTTTTGACGATTCCTCGTCGGTGACAAAATACTTTATGGCACTTTTATTGCATTTTTTTTATATTCCCTTCGTTCTGATGTTTATTCTATATCTTGCGATTTTTTCGAAACTGAAGTCCCAGAGAGGACCAGGCGAACACTCAATGAACGCTCAAATTCAGCGCCTGAGAAGGGAGAGAAATGCGCTGAAGCTTTCCATTGCTATTGTGTTAGGTTTCGCTGTATGCTGGATTCCATTCAGTATTTTTGCATTAGTACGTATGTTTGCAGATGAAAACAATGCTACAATGTCCTGTGGATTCAAACAGTTATTAGAGCAAGTTGCTCTGCTACTGAGTCGAACAAATAGCGCTATGAACCCCTGCATATGTTTTATTTTCAGTGGAAATTATCGCCAAGGTCTTAACAATCTCCTCGGCTGCTGAGTGAGTTACCAGGGCTAATAAAGATGCAATGTAACATCATGGCAGCCGCTTTGGAATATAATAAGAATTGTTTGTAAACTGAACTGAAACTAAATTAAATACATCATTATGAAAAGTAAAGAACATCCACACTTAAGGGTTTAGAAACGAATCTGTTGCCGTAAAAACATTTTTTTCCTAGGGGTGAACCGTTGATATGCATTAAGGAATCCTGCCAACGTTGCATTAGAAACAACTATGAATAACACATATTAATCAAGTAGTATCTGATAAAATCTTACAGTCATGCGCATTAGAAAGGGTTTTTAATTACTGTCGGATATAGAATATCGTCTTCATTTGGATTATATTATAAATACTCTACAGAACACAGGGAGATACTTATCATTTTATCAATCACTTTATCGTAGATATGAACATATCAGATGTATTAATCCAAATTTTCTAGATTCCAAACGCCCAATCACCAACTTTGTTTCGTGAGGAAACATTTACTTTGCATCATATATTGCTTACTTCTGGTAAGAATACAATGTAAGAAAGTTTTTAATTTGGCCTCGTTTGTTCAAACAGGTGCTCATACTGGTAAAACATTAGCAAACACTTACATAGAGATTAAAAAATAGGACGCGATATGCTGGCGACATCCTGACGCAATTATCAAATATTTGATTCTCTCAATCGTATATTGTGGGTGGAAAAATATCTGAAAGAGGAAAGCTACAGACACTGAAGAGAATATAAACATTTAATATTCTTTTGCAACTGAGTAAACAATTCTGTTCAAATAGAGTCCGCTTGTTGACGTCTTTCAGATCTCTTTTCTTTATTTCGATTAGTAACATTCAATATATCAAGTTTCCTTGTCTTCCCTCTCCTCAATTTATTCATGAATCTCGCCTGTCGGAGGCTTACAGTCAGCAAAGACAGGCGGGGAGGCAGGCGCATAAAAGATGGCACGCGGAGGTTTCCTCGGACGTAGTTTCAATAAAGTTTCATTTTGTATTTCTTAATTGAAATGAGAGAAAGGGCTGCCAATGTTCCATGACTCACTTATTTAGTACAAGATTGTTGAGCAATCATGATTAGTTAATTATATGAAAGAGATCACGGATTCTTTTACACTGCGAGGATTTCTAGTATTCGTAAATGTGAACATGTTCAAATAAAGATAGACGAAACTTAATCGCTTCTTATTACAAGCTTCAGATGACATAGAGCATAATGGGGGACGAATTTTAAAAAGTTCTTTTTCCTTTACACTTTGGCCGTCAGAATCGAGAAAATGTCAGATCTGTGAAATAAAGTCATCTGTGTCGGAAATTCGCTCTCGTGTAATTGTATGAAAATTTCCCAAATGCTTCTGGTGGAAAAAGAAACATAAAAAAAAAAAGATAAAATAGAATGAATGCCGATATTGACTTAAATTAATAGCTTTGGTCTTTTTATTTTTTTCCTTTTTTTTTTGAAAATTGAAAGTTCGATGCGATGTCAAGAGAGACAAAACTTAATGGCTTTTTTATTACAGGCTCCAGCTGGTACCCGGGTTTCATTTTCAAAGTATAATGAGAGGTGACTTAAAATTTGTATTCTCTTCAAACTTTCGTATGTCAGGACCAACAAAGGCAGAAACGCCTGAAACGTCAGACTCTGTGAACTTCTCTCGTGAAACTACAGAGATCAGGCTGTAAGTAACAGTGTATCCGATTCTTCTTGCTGTAGGATCGAAGCACGATGTTGTCTGTGTTCCATTTGTGGTTTTGTTGAAGTTTATGCGGTCGTTTATGAAAATGGAAAACAGTAAAATCAAATATTTCAGTTTACTAGGTTTTTCTCAAAAGAATCTCTTGGTTTCTCTATAATCTTTTAAAATAGTGTGTACTACATCATAGAACATTTTCCTTCACTTATTATAAGCCGCCATCACATTGAGACAGCTGTCAAACGTAATTCAATAAACAACGCTATTTTAGCTTTTGCTTTCCAGTCATTTGCTAAACATTTATCAGCTTTTTAATTCAGATTACGTCTCGCAGGGAAAGGAAGCCGCCAGCTTTCGTTTTAACTTCCTTTTTCCCCGTTTTCCGTCCCTCAATTACCGGGCTGTTTTCGTGCACAAAAGAAAAAAGATACGCATAACATGATACATTCCTCGCCTTTTGTTAGCTCATATTAGTTTTTCACGACTTATCCTGGATGGGAAACTGACATCCGTCAATCGTCTGTTACGAAAGTAGTATGCAAATAAGCGATCAAGAAACAACCACAACAATTATCATCAAGTGACTGAAATACAAATTTATGATATGTATTGAAAGCGTTGTACATACACGTCAAGATGCGGAAACAGAAGAAAATGGAACTTTCTACAAATGTTCCTGAGGCCAATGATATTTCTATTTAAAGTGCAATTATTCAAACTACAATTGTAGATACTTTTGCTAATTAAAATGAAGGTTCAGGGTACATCTGTCGATATTAAATTTCCAGAGAAGCTAACGTATGCAATTTAGAACAATAATAATATCTATGCAAATCATCACTGCGTTCACTTTAAAAAAGATAGCGTTCAGAGCTGTTGGCGAACGTGACCGCAACGATGAATGGAACACAGGTACCGAGCTGCTTAAATCCAGTTACTGAGGGAAAGAGAATCGGATTCAACTTTGCTTACAACTTTTATAAAATTAAAAAAATACAAAATAAAGACAGGAAAAAAGTTAATAAACGAGTAAGGAAAGGACTTTTTACTATGGGAAAAATCTTTTGGAGCTGTTCCTCATAGAAAATTAAATCCGACTCAGTAAAAGAAGTTTGGCTTAAGGCAGTTAATGAAAGTTAATGAAAGTTATTTGTTAGTAAGCAGCTTTGTTTGTTTATTGAGAATATAGGTAGTTCTCTGAAAACTGCTCAAAGTCAAAGATTGGTTAAAAAAAGGGAAATTATCGTTTGCTCATACGTGATGATTCTGAGACAAGCTGTCAACTGTCATTCAACATCACTAAATTATTCTATTTCGGTATTCGCCATTCTATCATGTGCTTTATTAATGTCTGCCTTTAGATTCAGATCACGCCTTGCGTTGAACTGCCTTCCTTAGAAACGACTTGTTTTTCCTCTTTTATATGTAAATACATTTCTCTAAAATTGTTGTTTTCACCATTTACCAATCATACCAAAAGGTTAAAAAAAAGTATAGCATTCAAAATCATTTTTCGTTCTTGACAATCTTATTTCAACTGACTCTATTCCTTACCTAAAAAAAAATTTTTGAGTACAGACTGCAAGTCGAAATTAAATGAGAGTAAAATGATATCTAAAGATTCTTAGTTAATCAATTTTTAATGTATTCGTTGACAGTCGCCTCTGCTTTATTTAAACAGAGTGTAGGCAGCTTCTCAATTAAGAGCTTTTAGCATACGACTAAGGACTCCGACGAAATTTATGAATTCATTAGTATATAAGTAAACAATTAGCTGTGTCTTCTTTCATAAAGCATAGGTAGGATTCAGAGTCAGACAGAGAACTGTTGGCCGAAGGAGAAACCCATAATCGGATTCCGCATGGGGACTAAGACTTTTTTCTTTGTTGCACGCTCGTGACAAGACGAAAACATCTTTCTTCCAGAAATTTATATGTCGGGAATAACTTTTGGATCCGTACCTGAAAAAGATTGTTTCCCTTAAACGACCAATTGTTGATTGGTTTTGCAGCTCTTTTGAAAGAATACTTCAGTAAAAACTGTGAGAAGGTTGTTCCGTAAGGTAGGAGCACTCTTTTACTGTTTTTCGGTTTTTCTCCAATGAATAAAGTCTGACGCTTTGCATGGAGGAAGCGAAATAAAACAATTTTAAAGTTTGTCAAAATAAGCAGCTGTGTTTTCTTTAAATAGAGTAAAGGCAACGTCCAGATAACCACTGACTGAATAAGAACTGATCTCTCAAGAATGTCAGAAAACGTGACTGCAACGATGAATGGAACACAGTCCACGTCGAGCTGCTTCAATCCCACAGCGACAAGAATTGGTCAAACCTTCGCCTACTGTCTGCTATTTGTTGTGTCGCTGGCTGTGAATACCTTCATTGGAATAATTGTCTATAGGACGAAAACTATGAGAACACCAATCAACATTTTGATAGTAAACATGGCACTCTCCGATCTGTTGTACCCGATTTTCCTCTTTCCTAAAATTTTGGTAGAGTTAAACACGGCCGGCCACTGGCTGGTTGGCGGTCCCCTTGGCCATGCGGCGTGTAAACTGAGTACCTTCGCTGCAGATGTCTCAACTCTAGTGTCAACTCAGAGCCTGTTGTTGATCGCAGTGGATCGATTTGGGGCTGTAGTATTTCCTCTCCGTTCCCCACTGATTAGTTCAAAGCAGTGCCGGTACTTCATTCTCGTCATTTGGATCATCGCCATGGCAGTCCATTGTCCATATTTGATCGCCCTGAAAGTTGTCGAGTATCCAGAGGGGCTGTTTTGTGGGTGGCAGTGGAATGACACATTTGGAGAGTCCCTATCGCAGCAAACCTACATACTGGGATTGATCGTTGTTACCAACTATATTCCTTTGGTTTTGATTGCCATACTTTATTTTGTCATTTCCTTAAGAATTAAATCGCAGAAGATTCCTGGGGAACAATCAGCTAACGCAAGAGAACGGCGTTTGAAGAAAGAAAGAAATGTTCTTAATATGTCCGTTGCCATTGTCTTGGTGTTCGCCGTATGCTCGTTGCCACTCAGCATCTACGCCCTCCTGTCCCTTTATTCATCAAACATAGATATATTGCCATCTTGTGGCATGCAATACTTTGGAACTATTGCCTTTCTTCTGGCGAGCTCGTACTGTGCTGTAAATCCTTGCATCTGTTTTATCTTCAGTGGTAATTATCGTCAAGGTCTCAAGAATCTCTTCGGTTGTTTTCCTACAGGCGAAGCTGCTTAGTTATCGTTTCCTCCCCAGCCTTCTGCATGCTGTTTGGATTTATCCGCGCATTGATGTGACTGAACATGCCCACCGGTTCTTTATCCCTATTTATAGAGAATTTGAGCAGAGATATTTTGGAGACGCGAGCAGCAACATGCAGGAGAAAGAATAAAACTAAATCTGGCGCGATTTGACACTGATTCATCGACCGTAAGGAATAAGAACTTTTAACTTGCAGCTGCCGTCCGCGTCTGCCGTTGATGCTTAAGCTCCCTAATAACTACACTTACGAAGTAGTTGGTGCAGCGAAACCCATCCATCAACTGATTTACTCTTTAGTGACAGTACACTTTCCACATTTTACAACTCTGGCCATCTCTTTCTGACTTGTTGAAACTGATCGTAATCCCTTTCAGTTTCTTACTTTAAAAACAGTTATTAACCGGAAAATGCAAAAAAAAATGTCGTGTCATAGGCACTCTAAGACACGATCTATGACAACAAACCCAAACAATTTAAAAATTCAAACATCCCTTTTACAATTTCTTTTTTCACCTGCCGAAATGAGTTAAAGAATTCTAGGTAATTAGGGTTAAAGTGCCCATGACACGAAATTTTTTTGGCGTAAATATTTAGCTTATTATGTGTACAAACCAATTCCCATAAAAGAAAAATTGCAAAAAACTTAAAACTCGGTTTCTTCGGGCCCTAAAGCACTTTTATTTTGTCTTAAAAGTGTCCCGTGGACAGGTAACGAATTAGCGGGTGATAACGTAGAAAATTGTGAAACTTTCTTCGAGATTTCTCCTACTTTCCGGCTCCACCATAGTTGCTGACGGCAATTTTAAAAACAGCTATTAACTGGAAAATGCAAACAAACCCAAATAAAGACCTAAAATAATTGGTTTCAGTGTGAATCATCAAAATGAAATATTCAAATGTTCACATCACTTCCACAGCAATCGGTAATACAAATAGAGGTGTTTGTGACTTCCGTAAGATAATACTTGACTTTAACGGTGACTGAAGAACGCTTCTACGAAATGTCCACGAACTTGAGCGCAACAATGAATGGAACTCAGCCGTCCAACTGCTATAATCCCACAGCATTGAGGATTGGGCACACAATTGCTTACTGCGTAATATTTATTATTTCTGTGGTTGGAAATTCCTTTATTGGAATAATTGTTTACAAGACAAAAACCATGCGAAAACCCATCAACAATCTAATTGTGAACATGGCTATGTCAGACCTACTGTTCCCGATATTCTTGATCCCGAAAACTGTAGTAGAGATACATGACGATGATTGGCCATTAGAGGCCATCTTGGCGAGGTTTTGTGTAAGCTCGCTCCTTTTTCAGCCGATCTCTCCTCTGCTTTGTCAATTCAGAGCCTTGTGCTGATAGCAGTGGATCGATTTGTAGCTGTGGTATTTCCCCTCCGTTCGCCACTGATCAGTTTAAAACTGTGTCGCTCCTTTATTCTCGCCACGTGGATCATCGCCATGGCTACATTCATCCCGTATCTGCTCGCGTTCAAGCTGGTCGAATACGATCATGAGTACAAGTGTGTGCGGCAATGGATGCGTGTTTTTGACGATTCCTCGTCGGTGACAAAATACTTTATGGCACTTTTTATTGCATTTTTTTATATTCCCTTCGTTCTGATGTTTATTCTATATCTTGCCATTTTTTTGAAACTGAAGTCCCAGAGAGGACCAGGCGAACACTCAATGAACGCTCAAATTCAGCGCTTGAGAAGGGAGAAAAATGCGCTGAAGCTTTCCATTGCTATTGTGTTAGGGTTCGCTGTATGCTGGATTCCATTCAGTATTTTTGCATTAGTACGTATGTTTGCAGATGAAAACAATGCTACAATGTCCTGTGGATTCAAACAGTTATTAGAGCAAGTTGCTCTGCTACTGAGTCGAACAAATAGCGCTATGAACCCCTGCATCTGTTTTATTTTCAGTGGAAATTATCGCCAAGGTCTTAACAATCTCCTCGGCTGCTGAGTGAGTTGCCAGGGCTAATAAGGATGCAATGTATCATGGCAGCCGCTTTAGAATATAATAAGAATTGTTTGTAAACTGAACTGAAACTAAATTAAATACATCATTATGAAAAGTAAAGAACATCCACACTAAGGGGGGTCTAGAAACGAATCTGTTGCCGAAAAAACATTTTTTTCCTAGGGGTGAACCGTTGATATGCATTAAGGAATCCTGTCAACGTTGCATTAGAAACAACTATGAATAAAATATATTAATCAAGTAGTATCTGATAAAATCTTACAGTCATGTGCATTAGAAAGGGTTTTAATTCCTGTCGGATATAGAATATTATCTTCATTTGGATTATATTATAAATACCATACAGAACACAGGGAGAAACTTATCATTTTATCAATCACTTTATCGTAGATTAGACCATATCAGATGTATTAATCCAAATTTTCTAGATTCCAAACGCCCAATCACCAACTTTGTTTCGTGAGGAAACATTTACTGTGCATCATATATTGCTTACTTCTGGTAAGAATACAATGTAAGAAAGTTTTTAATTTGGCCTCGTTTGTTCAAACAGGTGCTCATACTGGTAAAACATTAGCAAACACTTACATAGAGATTAAAAAATAGGACGCGATATGCTGGCGACATCCTGACGCAATTATCAAATATTTGATTCTCTCAATCGTATATTGTGGGTGGAAAAATATCTGAAAGAGGAAAGCTACAGACACTGAAGAGAATATAAACATTTAATATTCTTTTGCAACTGAGTAAACAATTCTGTTCAAATAGAGTCCGCTTGTTGACGTCTTTCAGATCTCTTTTCTTTATTTCGATTAGTAACATTCAATATATCAAGTTTCCTTGTCTTCCCTCTCCTCAATTTATTCATGAATCTCGCCTGTCGGAGGCTTACAGTCAGCAAAGACAGGCGGGGAGGCAGGCGCATAAAAGATGGCACGCGGAGGTTTCCTCGGACGTAGTTTCAATAAAGTTTCATTTTGTATTTCTTAATTGAAATGAGAGAAAGGGCTGCCAATGTTCCATGACTCACTTATTTAGTACAAGATTGTTGAGCAATCGTGATTAGTTAATGATATGAAAGAGATCACGGATTCTTTTACACTGCGAGGATTTCTTGTATTCGTAGATGTGAACATGTTCAAATAAAGATAGACGAAACTTAATCGCTTCTTATTACAAGCTTCAGATGACATAGAGCATAATGGGGGACGAATTTTAAAAAGTTCTTTTTCCTTTACACTTTGGCCGTCAGAATCGAGAAAATGTCAGATTTGTGAAATAAAGTCATCTGTGTCGGAAATTCGCTCTCGTGTAATTGTATGAAAATTTCCCAAATGCTTCTGGTGGAAAAAGAAACATAAAAAAAAAAAGATAAAATAGAATGAATGCCGATATTGACTTAAATTAAGAGCTTTGGTCTTTTTATTTTTTTCCTTTTTTTTTTGAAAATTGAAAGTTCGATGCGATGTCAAGAGAGACAAAACTTAATGGCTTTTTTATTACAGGCTCCAGCTGGTACCCGGGTTTCATTTTCAAAGTATAATGAGAGGTGACTTAAAATTTGTATTCTCTTCAAACTTTCGTATGTCAGGACCAACAAAGGCAGAAACGCCTGAAACGTCAGACTTTGTGAACTTCTCTCGTGAAACTACAGAGATCAGGCTGTAAGTAACAGTGTATTCGATTCTTCTTGCTGTAGGATCGAAGCACGATGTTGTCTGCGTTCCATTTGTGGTTTTGTTGAAGTTTATGCGGTCGTTTATGAAAATGGAAAACAGTAAAATCAAATATTTCAGTTTACTAGGTTTTTCTCAAAAGAATCTCTTGGTTTCTCTATAATCTTTTAAAATAGTGTGTACTACATCATAGAACATTTTCCTTCACTTCTTATAAGCCGCCATCACATGGAGTCAGCTGTCAAACGTAATTCAATAAATAACGCTATTTTAGCTTTTGCTTTCCAGTCATTTGCTAAACATTTATCTCCTTTTTAATTCAGATCACGCCTCGCAGGGAAAGGAAGCAGACAGCTTTCATTTTAACCTCTTTCCCCGTTTTCCGTCCCTCAATTATCAGGCCGTTTTCGTGCTCAAAAGAAAAAAGATACGCATAACTTGACATATTCCTCGCTTTTTGTTAGCTCATATTAGTTTTTCACAACTTAATTATCCTGGAAGGGAAACTGACATCCGTCAATCGTCTGTTACGAAAGTAGTATGCAAACAAGCGATCAAGAAACAACCACAACAATTATCATCAAGTGACTGAAATACAAATTTTTGATATGTATTCAAAGCGTTGTACATACACGTCAAGATGCGGAAACAGAAGAAAATGGAACTTTCTACAAATGTTCCTGAGGCCAATGATATTTCTATTTAAAGTAAAATTATCCAAATGAGATAATTCCCAACTATTTCATTTCAGGCTACTACAATCGTAGATACTTTTGCTAATTAAAATGAAGGTTCAGGGTACATCTGTCGAAATTAAACTTCTAGAGAAGCTAACGTATGCAATTTAGAACAATAATAATATCTTTGCAAATCATCACTGCGTTCACTTAAAAAAAGATAGCGTCAGAGCTGTTGGAGAACGTGACCGCAACGATGAATGGAACACAGGTACCGAGCTGCTTAAATCCAGTTACTGAGGGAAAGAGAATCGGATTCAACTTTGCTTACAACTTTTATAAAATAAAAAAAAATACAAAATAAAGACAGGAAAAAAGTTAATAAACGAGTAAGGAAAGGACTTTTTACTATGGGAAAAATCTTTTGGAGCTGTTCCTCATAGAAAATTAAATCCGACTCAGTAAAAGAAGTTTGGCTTAAGGCAGTTAATGAAAGTTAATAAAAGTTATTTGTTAGTAAGCAGCTTTGTTTGTTTATTGAGAATATAGGTAGTTCTCTGAAAACTGCTCAAAGTCAAAGATTGGTTAAAAAAAGGGAAATTATCGTTTTCTCATACGTGATGATTCTGAGACAAGCTGTCAACTGTCATTCAACATCACTAAATTATTCTATTTCGGTATTCGCCATTCTATCATGTGCTTTACTAATGTTTGCTTTTAGATTCAGATCGCGCGTTGAACTACCTTCCCTAGAAATGACTTGTTTTTCCTCTTTTATACGTAAATACATTTCTATAAAATTGTTGTTTTTATCATTACCAATCATACCAAAAGGTTAGAAAAAATTATAGCATTCAAAATCTTTTTTTTTCTTGACAATCTTATTTCAACTGACTCTATTCCTTACTAAAAAAAAAAAAATTTTTTTGAGTACAGACTGCAAGTCGAAATTAAATGAAAGTAAAATGATATCTAAAGATTCTTAGTTAATCAATTTTTAATGTATTCGTTGACAGTCGCCTCTGCTTTTATTTAAATAGAGTGTAGGCAGCTTCTCAATTAAGAGCTTTTAGCATACGACTAAGGACTCCGACGAAATTTATGAATTCATTAGTATATAAGTAAACAATTAGCTGTGTCTTCTTTCATAAAGCATAGGTAGGATTCAGAGTCAGACAGAGAACTGTTGGCCGAAGGAGAAACCCATAATCGGATTCCGCATGGGGACTAAGACTTTTTTCTTTGTTGCACGCTCGTGACAAGACGAAAACATCTTTCTTCCAGAAATTTATATGTCGGGAATAACTTTTGGATCCGTACCTGAAAAAGATTGTTTCCCTTAAACGACCAATTGTTGATTGGTTTTGCAGCTCTTTTGAAAGAATACTTCAGTAAAAACTGTGAGAAGGTTTTTCCGTAAGGTAGGAGCACTCTTTTACTTTTTTTTCGGTTTTTCTCCAATGAATAAAGTATGACGCTTTGCATGGAGGGAGCGAAATAAAACAATTTTAAAGTTTGTCAAAATAAGCAGCTGTGTTTTCTTTAAAAAGAGTAAAGGCAACGTCCAGATAACCACTGACTGAATAAGAACTGATCTCTCAAGAATGTCAGAAAACGTGACTGCAACGATGAATGGAACACAGTCCATGTCGAGCTGCTTCAATCCCACAGCGACAAGAATTGGTCAAACCTTCGCCTACAGATCGTTTTCACTCACGTGACCAATTCCTTGACTACCGTTGCTACGCCGCCATATTGGTGTACCTCAATTGTAAACAAACTAGTAGCGTCCTTCGCGTGGAACATGGTTTTGTGTCTGATCGTTGGCTGTGGCAGCAAAAGTGGACGAGATAAAGGGTTGTACTTTGCAAGGGTGCCTTCTGTGGTCACAAATCAAGGCGAAGAGGCACAGAAACTATCCGAAGAAAGAAGATCGCGCTGGATTTCAGCGATAAGCCGTGACGATCTGACCGAAGAGATCTTAGAAAACGATCGTGTGTGCGAAAAGCATTTTGTTTCAGGAAGGGCAGCTAAGAGCTGGGATAAATTTAATATTGACTGGGTTCCGACATTGCTTTTGGGACACAATAAAGCTACTGATCGAGAACATGTTTCTCCGTTTGTTGCTTACAAGTCCCAGAATCTGGCCACATTTGAAGAGTTTGTCACGACTTTGATAAAACTTAAACTTGACGCACCACATCAAGATCTTTCATATCGCTTCAATGTCTCCCTTTCAACAGTTTCAAGGATTTTTTCATCCTGGATGGTAGCGCTAGATGTACGCCTGGCTCCACTTATCAACTGGCCTGAACGTGAGGATTTATGGCGAACTATTGCCCCATTCACACCAAAGCTTAAACATGTTTAAAAGTTGTTTTGTTAAACACAGTTTAATTTTTTTCTCCTTCATAGAAACTATTTAACCGAATATTTTTGACTTGAATGTAGCACATTGGAAATGCAAGTTAGCAAGTACTTGAATCCAATGGAAAATCAAGTTTTTCAGTTCTCTGTTTATAATTTTCATTCAATGAAAACCAGTTTAACAAAACATGTTTTGCTGGTGTGAATGGGGTATATGCCACAGTGTTTTAAATATTCATTTGGAAACAAAACTACCGTGATTATTGATTGTTTCGAAGTATTTAATAATAGACCATCAAATCTGCTCGCAAGAGCACAGACATGGTCATCGTACAAACACCATAACACTGTTAAGGTGCTGATTGGGATAACTCCACAAGGTACAATCTCCTAACCCAACATGAAATAAGAGAGTCGTTCATACGCTGGGAATGTCTCACCTTTGCTAAAACAAGAAACTTGTCGCGATTATGTGGCCTTGCACGCTTGCGATAAAACCAGAGACCATTTGGTTATATGCTTCAAGACTTCGGAAAGCTTTAAACTGTTTCTGAGTGTAGAAACTTGTCTCCAAGACAAGATAACACAAAATATCTGTGGATTCAACAGGAGGCAAACAGTCCGGCTTAAAGTCCTTCCTTCGACTAAAACTGGATCAATTCCAATTGCCGCTATTTTCTGTAAATATCGATCTCTGACTGGAAAATCCAGCTGCTTCGCGTATTCGGATATCGGAAAAGAATAGTCGACCCCGCTTTTGTTCTGGGACTCTTTTTCTTTCTCTTTTGAATCCATTTTACTCGTGGGAATGATAGCTGTGGAAAAATTACGGGGATTACGCAATCGAAAGTGGTACACCAATATGGCCGACCGGAAATGATGTGACGTCACGTGAAAACGATCTACTGTCTGCTATTTGTTGTGTCGCTGGCTGTGAATACCTTCATTGGAATAATTGTCTATAGGACGAAAACTATGAGAACACCAATCAACATTTTGATAGTAAACATGGCACTCTCCGATCTGTTGTACCCGATTTTCCTCTTTCCTAAAATTTTTGTAGAGTTAAACACGGCCGGCCACTGGCTGGTTGGCGGTCCCCTTGGCCATACGGCGTGTAAACTAAGTCTATTCACTGGAGATGTCTCAACTCTAGTTTCAGTTCAGAGCCTGTTGTTGATCGCAGTGGATCGATTTGGGGCTGTAGTATTTCCTCTCCGTTCCCCACTGATTAGTTCAAAGCAGTGCCGGTACTTCATTCTCGTCATTTGGATCATCGCCATGGCGGTCCATTGTCCATATTTGATCGCCCTGAAAGTTGTCGAGTATCCAGAGGGGCTGTTTTGTGGGTGGCAGTGGAATGACACATTTGGAGAGTCCCTATCGCAGCAAACCTACATACTTGGATTGATCGTTGTTACCAACTACATTCCTTTGGTTTTGATTTCCATACTTTATTTTGCCATTGCCTTAAGAATTAAATCGCAGAAGATTCCTGGGGAACAATCAGCTAACGCAAGAGAACGGCGTTTGAAGAAAGAAAGAAATGTTCTTAATATGTCCGTTGCCATTGTCTTGGTGTTCGCCGTATGCTCGTTGCCACTCAGCATCTACGCCCTCCTGTCCCTTTATTCATCAAACATAGCTATATGGTCATCTTGTAGCATGCAATACTTTGGAACTATTGCCTTTCTTCTGGCGTGCTCGTACTGTGCTGTAAATCCTTGCATCTGTTTTATCTTCAGTGGTAATTATCGTCAAGGTCTCAAGAATCTCTTCGGTTGTTTTCCTACAGGCGAAGCTGCTTAGTTATCGTTTCCTCCCCAGCCTTCTGCATGCTGTTTGGATTTATCCGCGCATTGATGTGGCTGAACATGCCCACCGGTTCTTTATCCCTATTTATAGAGAATTTGAGCAGAGACATTTTGGAGACGCGGGCAGCAACAGGAGAAAGAATAAAACTAAATCTGGCGCGATTTGACACTGATTCATCGACCGTAAGGAATAAGAACTTTTAATTTTCAATTGGTCAGGCAAAGTGACAATAGACGTTGTTGAGATAATGTGGGATCTCCTTAAAACACACGCCAGTGGCAACGCGTAATAAATTAAAGAAAAACTTTAGAGCTGAAGTTAATCAGAAAGGGAATACTGTAAACGTTGTAGCGGCAACGTGTAATAAATTAAAGAAGAAGCTTTAAAGTTGGAGTTAATCAGAAAGGGAATTCTGTAAACGTTGTAGCGGCAACGCGTAATTGATTAAAGAAGAAGCTTCCGTGAGCACAATTCTTGGTACCTTCCGCCCAGTTTGCTCATGCAAGCCAGTTTCCTTCAAACGTTCAATAGTTGTTTGAACTGTGGTTTCAGGATTTCTGGTTTTAATGTTAATATAACAATCATTTTAAATATTTTAGACTCAGCCTTTAAAATGAAAGACTTTTTTCGATCAATAAGCTGCTATAATTAGATGAGAAAAAATAAAGTCTGATTTAAATCCAAGATGAAATAAATAACATCAAAAAAAGCTATGCGGACTGGTTTTTCTCTCATAAGCTAAATCGTTATTACGGTTATTCCTCTCAAGTCCCGTATTTATTAGATTGACGCCTCACCTTGATTATGGGCCCTCCCCTCTACTTCTGCTTCCCCCTCCCCACCCCCCTGCTTGCAAAAAAAATTGTAGTGTATAGGAGGAGGCTCTTCAGAAGGCGATGGTAACAGTTAAAATGTCGGCCATTTTACGGCTAGCGGTTAACTTCCTTCCTTTGTGATTACTAAGAAAATTTTTACTGTTAATTTTTTTTGCGACTAAAGGTTAAAATTTGCCAATTTTTCCGCCTAACGGCTAAACTGTTAGGCCGTTTTATGCCTAACGGTTAACCCGATCGAGAGCCTCTAAGAGGAGTGTAACTTATTCAATATTTCCTTACAATCTCGAAATTCATTGCCTATGGTACATCTTCACGTATTGTTATTATTTATCATTTTGTGGCGAAATAAACTAAATACTTGCTGAAAATGAAGTAAATCACAAAAGCGCCCTCCTCGAATAAGCGGTTACTCTGAAAGTCTAAAAATGTATTAAGCGCCCAGGGCGTTTACTCGAAAAAATACGGCGATCCTTGTTTTACGCACATGCCCGACGTCGATTTAACCACGAACTTAAATGAGAATTCATTGTCGGCGGAAAGCTGCAATCCCTTCCTGGTAGATTATGCTGATGTTTTGAAATTGACTTTCATTACGGAGAGTTTTGCTAGAACGCAGCTTTTGAAAGGCTAACCCCAAACACTTAAAGTAAAGAGTGCTTCATCATGCTGCATGAGTGATAATCACTCAGTGGTTTTATTTTGTCTTAAAAGTGTCCCGTGGACTGGTAACGAATTAGCAGGTGATAACGTAGAAAACTGTCAAACTTTCTTCTAGATTTCTTCTACTTTCCGGCTCCATCATAGTTGCCGACGTGTCTTCACAGTTTTCTACGTCACAGCTATGTAATATGATCGTTTTGGCCGCGCGCTTAATGGCGGTACTTTTTGGCCACCAAATCGTACTTTCAATGCACAAAAAATTGGTCAAGAAGAACTCGCTAGGCGCTAAGGTCGATTATTTCTAACTTTAAAAACAGCTATTAACCGGAAAATGCAAAAAAAAATTTCGCGTCACAGGCACTTTAAGACATGATCCATGACAACAAACCCAAACAATTTAAAAATTCAAACATCCCTTTTACAATTTCTTTTTTCACCTGCCGAAATGAGTTAAAGAATTCTAGGTAATTAGGGTCAAAGTGCCCATGACAGGAAATCTTTTTGGCGTAAATATTTAGCTTATTATGTGTACAAACCAATTCCCATAAGAGAAAAATTTCAAAAAACTTAGAACTCGGTTTTTTCAGGCCCTAAAGCGCTTTTATTTTCTCTTTAGAGTGTCCCGTGGACTGGTAACGAATAAGCGGGTGATAACGTAGAAAACTGTGAAACTTTCTTCTAGATTTCTCCTTCTTTCCGGCTCCACCAGAGTTGCCGACAGCAATTTTAAAAACAGCTATTAACTGGAAACAACAACAAACCCAAATAAAGACCTAAAATAATTGGTTTCAGTGTGCATCATCAAAATAAAATATTCAAATTTTCACATCACTTCCACAGCAAGCGGTAATACAAATAGAGGTGTTTGTGACTTCCATAAGATAATACTCGACTTTAACGGTGACTGAAGAACGCGTCTTCGAAATGTCCACGAACTTGAGCGCAACAATGAATGCAACTCTGCTGTGTCAATTCAGAGCCTTGTGCTCATATCAGTGGATCGATTTGTAGCTGTGGTATTTCCCCTCCGTTCCCCGCTCTTCAGTTCAAAATTGTATCGCTTCTTTATTCTCGCCACGTGGATCATCGCCATGGCTACATTCATCCCGTATCTGGTCGCGTTCAAGCTGGTCGAATACGATCATGAGTACAAGTGTGTGCGGCAATGGATGCGTGTTTTTGACGATTCCTCGTCGGTGACAAAATACTTTATGGCACTTTTATTGCATTTTTTTTATATTCCCTTCGTTCTGATGTTTATTCTATATCTTGCCATTTTTTTGAAACTGAAGTCCCAGAGAGGACCAGGCGAACACTCAATGAACGCTCAAATTCAGCGCCTGAGAAGGGAGAGAAATGCGCTGAAGCTTTCCATTGCTATTGTGTTAGGTTTCGCTGTATGCTGGATTCCATTCAGTATTTTTGCATTAGTACGTATGTTTGCAGATGAAAACAATGCTATACAATGTCCCGTGGATTCAAACAGTTATTAGAGCATGTTGCTCCGCTACTGAGTCGAACAGATAGCGCTATGAACCCCTGCATCTGTTTTATTTTCAGTGGAAATTATCGCCAAGGTCTTAACAATCTCCTCGGCTGCTGAGTGAGTTGCCAGGGCTAATGAAGATGCAATGTATCATGGCAGCCGCTTTGGAATATAATAAGAATTGTTTGTAAACTGAACTGAAACTAAATTAAATACATCATTATGAAAGTAAATTTGTTTAGAAACAAATCTGTTGCCGAAAAAACATTTTTTTCCTAGGGGTGAACCGTTGATATGCATTAAAGAATCCTGTCAACGTTGCATTAGAAACAACTATGAATAAAACATATTAATCAAGGAGTATCTGATTAAATCTTACAGTCATGTGCATTAGAAAGGGTTTTAATTCCTGTCAGATATAGAATATCATCTTCATTTGGATTATATTATAAATACCATACAGAACACAGGGAGAAACTTATCATTTTATCAATCACTTTATCGTAGATTAGACCATATCAGATGTATTAATCCAAATTTTCTAGATTCCGAACGCTCAATCACTAACTTTGTTTCGTGAGGAAACATTTACTGTGCATCAAATATTGCTTACTTCTGGTAAGAATACAATGTAAGAAAGTTTTTAATTTGGCCTCGTTTGTTCAAACAGGTGCTCATACTGGTAAAACATTAGCAAACACTTAGATGGAGATTCAGAAATAGGACGCGATATGCTGGCGACATCCTGACACAATTATCAAATATTTGATTCTCTCAATCGTATATTGTGGGTGGAAAAATATCTGAAAGAGGAAAGCGACTGACAACAGAATATAAACATTTAATATTCTCTTGCTACTGATTAAACAATTCTGTTCAAATAGAGTCCGCTTGTTGACGTCTGTCAGATCTCGTTTCTTTATTTCGATTAGTAACATTCAGTAAATAAAGTTTCCTTGTCTTCCCTCCCTCTCAATTTCTTCATGAATCTCGCCTGTCGGAGGCTTACAGTCAGCAAAGACAGGCGAGGAGGCAGGCGCATAAAAGATGGCACGCAGAGGTTTCCTTGGACGTAGTTTCGTTTTATATTTCGTAATTGAAATAAGAGAAAGGGCTGCCAATGACTCACTTATTTAGTACAAAATTGTCGAGAAATCATGACTAGTTAATGAGATGAAAGAGATCACGGATTCTTTTACACTTTACCCCCCTATAATTCTGATTAAGATTTCATATATAATATAAACATATTCAAATTAAATAAAGACAGACGAAAGATATGAACATGTTCAAATAAAGACAGACGGAACTTAATCACTTCTTACTACAGGCTTCAGATAACACCCAGTTTTCATGAAGCATAATGGGGGACGAATTTTAAAAATGTCTTTTTCCTTTACACTTTGGCCGTCAGAATCGAGAAAATGTCAGATCTGTGAAATAAAGTCATCTGTGTCGGAAATTCGCTCTCGTGTAATTGTATGAAAATTTCCCAAATGATTCTGGTGGAAAAAGTAACATTATCTATTCATCAGACAAAACAGTGATATGGTCTTGTGGATTTTAATATTTCACGGCGATTGTCCGATTTTTGATGTACTCATACTGTGCTGTAAACCTCTGCATTTGTTTTATTTCCATTGGACATTACCGCCAGGGTCCTAAAAATCCCTTCATTTGCTTCTCCATAGCGCTAAGGGCTAATCAGGTTGCACCGCCGTAGCTAGGCCCCGCACTATAAAATGCTCATCAGTCGCAATCAAGGATAAATTTCGTACTGACCGTTTTAATCAGAACTTAAGGAAAGTCAACTTTACAGTAAAAAATATCTTTTTAGTAAAAGTTCTTAGTTGATCAACAAAGGTGAACTTTGTCGATTGTCAGTTTGATGTTTTTAAAAACTATGATGATAAAGACGTTCATTGGTCCCGCTTGAAACTGATCGCTCATTTGCATTCAGCGGCATGTCAAAAAACCAGAAGAAGATAAGAAGCCAGGTATAAAAGCTTAATTTTTTATAACGGAAAATCTTGTTAACCTCAAGAAACTTTATGGGAGTTTTGGTGACGAAAATAAATTAACAAGTTAGAGAAATTAACTCCCCGAAAAGATGTACAAGACATAAAGCAAGAAGCGTATTCCTGTCTGAATGGACTTCAATATAAACTAACTAATTCAAGCAAAATTACGCTGCTTTGTCTGTTCATACAGTTCTTATTTTAAAAGTTGGGTTCAGAGCCAAAGATTGGTTAAAAAAAAGGGAAATTATCGTTTGCCTAAAACAACCTCAGGGATGCGGTTCATCGAGGCCGACATTTATTCTTTTTTTTACTCTTTCGTCTTTTTGTTCTTCTTTGATAGTCGTATCACCTGTACTTTGGTTTTACCGCGGAGACTGAAATTTGCCGCTCGGCGATGTTTACATTTTGACTAAATGGACTCGCCGAGGCACATATGGTTGATGAGCTTATGCAGTCGTTTAAGTCAACTATTTATCTCCATTTGCTATTATGCTTTTTAAATCGAAAGAAAGAAAATGCAAAATTTTTACAGAGCGGCTTTACGATACAAATAGCCGGAATACTTTGATTAAAAAGCTGTCACCGTTAAGAGAATTTCGAAATTCGTTAAATAGAAATTGCCTTAGTAATTGAGCTGACAGTTGGAAATTCCCAAAAAGGAATGTTTACACGAAAAGTAGTCTCGCAATATGCAAAGGTGTTTGAAGATAAAGACCGATTAATTGATTTATTATGACCTAGATAATTTACCGCAAGGTTGTTTTGTAGCTATTGTTTTTGTAGTTAAAAAGGGCGAATGAAAGGTTTTTTATTATCTAAAAAGTTATTTCAAAACAGTCACAACATGAATCAAGAAGAACATGGAACTTTAATTTCTAAGATTGATCTTTTCCAGCACAAGTCATTTCAGTTGGCGCTAAACTTAAATGATCCGCTCAGCTGAAGGGAAGTTCGTGAACAAAGCTCCATCAGGCACAAGCTTATTAGATTCAAATCGCTAACTAGGGTTGAGCCCTGTGCATAAAAATTATATGTAAATACCGTGGCTTTGACATATTTCATCGGCAGGTCTTTCAAAAGACATAGTAATTAGGCGGCGTTTTCAATGCAAACATCCATGGGGGGTCTTTTTCCGTTGACGTGCTCAGTTCACAAACGTCTTAAAACCAAATGACCACTGAGAAAAATAAAAATTACTGAAACCATCAATTCGTACCACTAACGATCTTAATATGTGAACTGGAATCGGGAAACTTCGATTACATGCTGTATTTCAAAACGTAATACGTTTTAACCTTAAACAATCCTGGCGGCAAGAACATGTACTTTAACAAATGAATTTATATTTTTAGTTGGGGTTTTGCGAAGTCTACAAATGGGTAGATGTGTTTATCGTCACTAACGGCGCCGCATCTCAACTTCAGCATAACGTATGAGAGCGGTGTCGAGTTCCAAATTTGCCGTCGGGGTTTCCGTTCTCAGTGAACGCAAATTTTTGGTCATTTCACGTTGATGTTTTGCAGAGGGCAGCTAAAAAAATGTAGGAAATTTAAAACGCACGTACTGAGCTATTTGTTCTACTCATTAGACCTTTTGTTTTGCTCCGTCCTCTTCTGGGCCGTCTGAGTATGAGCATATTTCTGAGTTCGTAAAAATAAAGCCAGATCAGACGGGATAGTACAGAGAAGTAGATCATTCACTTAATTCACATCTATGACCATCTAGGGCTTAAAAATGAATTTTTAATTTACACTCCAAACTATTGTACTGTTTTTACAAGCTCCAGTTTATCAAACTCTATTATATTTCTTTCCATTCTCCTCCTGCTTCTTCTTTTACTTTTCTTTCGAATTTTTATTTTCTTCTTCTAGATTCTCAGTTTTTGTTTTTTACAAGTTAGTGCTACATCTATAGTTCCTCAATTCAACATTAGGGAATTCAACTCGATTAGTCCTGTACAAACAGCTGAGGATATTTTTAAGCCCCTGACGATAATTTCCACTGAAAATGAAACAGATCCAAGGATTTATAGCACAGTTTGATTGAGCAAGAAAATAACCAATATGTTCGAAGTATTGGAAACTACAAGATGATATCAAAATTTTGTCTGATGAATAGAAGCTTAGTAACATCCGGATGGTGGTAGGCATCCAGCACACTATGAATACCAACACAACAGCAACAGACATCTTCAAAACATTTCTGTCTCTCTTCAAACGTTGCTCTCTTACATTTACTGATTGCTCGCCTGGGATCTTCTGGGATTTAATTTTGAGCACAATGGTGACGTAGAGTATGGCGATCAAAACTAAAGGAGTAAACCAAAATACAACGCTCAATGCCAAAATGTAGCTTTTAAAGGGCAATAAATCTCCAAACGCGTCCTTCCATCGCAGCTCACACGCTGACCCGTTTCGACTCTCGACAAGTTTCCAGGCAAACAGTTCTGGGGACTTGATAGCAATGGAGATGATCCAAGTGGCGAGAATAAAGAAACGACACAACTTAGAACTGATAAAGGGAGAACGGAAAGGAAATACCACAGCTCCAAAACGATCAACAGCCATCATAACCAGGCTTTGTATGGACACAAGAGTGGAAACCTCGATTGAGTAAGAAAAAATTTTGCACATCGCTTCGCCAAAAGGACCGTCGATCAGCCAGAAATCGACGTACAACCCGGTCACAATACGTGGAAACAGGAAAATCGGAAATAGAAGATCGGACATGGCCATGTTTAGAATGAAAAAGTTGATGGGTTTTCTTAGGGTTTTCATCTTGTATATTACCAGTGCGATGAAGATGTTTCCAACCAGCGAAGCTACGAAGAGCACACACAGAACTGTGGTTGTACCGGCTTTGGCTGCTGTTGAATCAAAGCAGCTCGTTTCTCGTGTTCCATTTGTGGTTGCGTTTACTTCTGTCAACATTTTTGTTGCTCAGAGATCCTGAGTGTCTTCCTCAGGTAGCACTCCTCTCACGGGTTCTTTCACTCTATTTAAAAATATGTTTGCTACACTCGATTTAAGGAAAAACGTCTGATCATTAACATATTACATTCTAAGCATCCCCAGCAACGGAGATATCATATGTGCT